GCTGGTGGCCCAGTAAGATGAGAAAACCACTTGCATAAGAGAGGACAACAGAAGAAGAAGAAGAAAATGAAGAAGAAGAAAAAGAAGGAGGAGGGGGGAGTGTTGAGTTTGCCCTATCTGCAGCTGAGGACAGAGTAACACAGGAGCTCAGAAGCAAAAGCATGTATCACAGTAGCCTGCACGCAATGCTGTTACGAGAGTCTTTAGTAAATGGGAATGTCTGCTTCATGAATTAATTCATACGTACATGTCAAACCAGCGGCATCTTTCACAATTATCATTTAAGCAGAGAAGACAATAAGCGTGACTGGTTCTCATCCATTTTTCATTTTGGAAATGAGTGGATCTAATCACAGCGGCTTGTTAGAGTCTTAAATGACTTCCTGGGATGCCTCCAAGTTTGGAGTTCTGCAAACTACGGAATTTTCCACTGGTTAACCTCCTAAATAGATGGCAATACTTCAGTGTTACTGCACTGCTCGCTTCAATCAACGCACACTTCTATCATGTCTGGTATAGTTATGAGTTATTTAGTCCTTTGTAAATATGAACATTTTTGATGGACTTTTTGTTTGTTTGTTTAACTGGAAGGAGACGCATACATAAGGCGTGGCAAGAAATGAAGAACTGCATTTTAAATACTCTGAGGAAATCAACTGTCACTACTTGGTCCAGCCATCACAAATTACCTGAGCATCACAGCAGGACATCTTGTTTTTCACAAACACCTGACTGGGAGTCATTATATTCACATTCAAGAGGATGACGGGAAAAACGATTTCACACGTTATAGCCTAATCGATTAGTAAAAACCCTGACATCAGAGAGCAGCGGTGAGCAAGGACAGTCCTACAGAGGACAAACATGAAACGCACTCCTTCCAGAGCTCTACTGCATTAGAAACTTCACACGGCTGTAAGCATTCTTCTGAGCGGAAGCAGTGTGATATAAAAATGCTGACGTGAGGCCAAAGAGAGCGATCAAACACTCAGTGTTTTGAAGTGCTTGAAATAAAATTTAAAAAGGAGAGAGAAATCAATAATCCAGGAGTCCTCATAGAGTATAGTGAAAAATATGGAGAGCTGAGACATCTGGGAAATTTTTCTGCTTAGTTGGGAGGAGAAGGGCAAGTGGGAGTTGGACGCACTGGTGACTGGGAGGGTTCAGAGAGTGGGAGTTTGTACTTATGATCGTCTCCCAACCATCTGTCTGCAGCGGTGCTCTGAGGTCACCATAAACACCACTGTACTCTGTTTTAAATGACACATAAAATTGGATTACTAATAATGACAAGACCCTCACATGTCATGACTAACGGTTATCAAGTGGGGAAGTCTCTGTTGAAATATTCCCATTAAATATCAACAATTTCTTGAAAACAGTGCAAGAAAGAGCACTTGACATGTAAACACATGATAACTGACCCTTCATCATTTACAGAGTGATCCGAGCGTCCGGTAAATCCAAACTAATGATGCAAAACAATCTGCGTGACAACTTGAATGGGGTAACCATCAAAGCATAAACAGGAAGTAATATCTTCACTGACTTGAACAGGGGACATGGCTCATCCACAGCCTGACCCCGTGTCATGTTTATGTAAAGCAACCACAGTCCTAAAGGACAGTCTTTATGTCTCGTTTGACACAGGTGGGTAGGCGAGAGCTGGAGGACTGAACTGGGCTTTATAATGGGCTGTCACATCAGAACTTGTCAAATGCCAAATCAGTGAGCACTTCCAGGATGATACAGGTCATACTGACTGTATCTGTAACCTGAACACTTTCACCAGATGGAAAACACAATCTGTTCTAACTCCCCCAAAGGGACTTGGCAAAACAGTGAGTTCACAGTACAAAAGAAAAAAACAAAACAGAACATTACAATGACTTCCCATTACTTAGCTTTGGCCAAATAATGGGAAAATATGCAGGTCTCTCCACAACAGAAGCATGTGTGTACAATTTCTAAACTCCACTGTACCCTCTTCTTCTCTCCCCTCCTCCACTTTGTTTTAGTTGCCCTGTGAACAGCCGGTGGAGAAAAGAGACTTCTTGTGCAGTGACAAACACCAACTAGAAAGGAAGCAGAAGTCTTAAATTCAAAGTGCACAAATCCGATGTTTTTCCAACAGCTCCGGCAAAGACGACAGGCAGCCTGCAGGAACTACATGGTCGTATTTTGAAAGGTAAAAGTGCATTTAGCGCAAACAGCAAACAGTAACTTTTCAACAAGCACGCCAAAACTTTTCACGTCTGGGGAAACGTACTCAGAGACTCATCCGTTTTATTTTAATTCTCCCGATCCGTGCAGCCACTCTGTGTCCGTGCTGAGGAGACTCGGTGTGCGCTTCAAATGTTTCAAACTGCAGAAACTATGTCATTCAGTGCAAAACAAATGCACACAGTGTTCTCTCAAGCCTTTTAAAAACTACATTCACTACTGTCATCTCTCGTTTTTCTCGCCGATCTCTGCAGGACCCCAAACAGATTCGTGGCATGTTTCTTACCCCCACATAAATAAGGCAAATTACTGAGCGTAGAATAAAAACCTTACCAGCTTTGCAGGGATCCTTATAGTCGATCGCCTCTGATGTGGCAGTAGGCTCCACATAGTAGCTTGGATCAAGCGCCTCCAAATCGATCGCCAATATCACGCCGAGACAGGATAGAAGAAATAAACATCTCGCCGTGAGAGCCATGATTGTGGCGGGGGAAACGGCGAA